AGGGGCAGAGCAGTGAGGAGACAGAAGATGCCCCTCTGCCGGTACCCAGCCAGGCGACAGCGGCGTGCGGGAAAAGCGGGCAGCCCTGCCGGTCCCGCGCCGCTTTGCCTGGTGGGACCTGCGCCCCCGGCTCACCTGGCACGCATCTTTCCCTCCCTGCAGGTACCCGGCGCACATCATCCGTGGGGTCAGGTAGCCCTCGTACACCTTGTCGCTGTTGCAGATCTTGTAGTCAATCAGCTTCACCTCAGCCTCCCGCAGCTTCGGGGACGTGTTATCTGCAAGGCAGGAGGAGCCGTGGGGCAGGGTGGGCATCGTCCCCCCTACCGCCCCCGGGCCCCTCCGCAGCACCAGGCGTTTCCGCAGCAGGGAGGGAGGACGCGGGTATTTCTTGCAGGACTTGCAGAGCTGCACAGCCGGGAGGGCAACGGCTGCGAGTCGCCCCTGCGGGAACAGCCCTCGCACACCGCAGCGGAGCCGCGCTCGCTCCTCTCGCACGCTGCGTGCGCAGGTCGGGTCGCAGCACACGGGAGCTGCCGGCGGAGAGCTGGTGTCCTCCCTCACCTTCATTCTCCATGGTCTTCACAAAGCCGGTTTTTTAGCGGGCCCTGCCGGTCTGGAATCGCTGGCCGTACATAGGGAGGCAGGCTGGGCGAACCTGAGCTGGAGGGAGGCGTGATGAAAACCAGGCGAGGAGAGAGGGATGAGTCACCCAGGAGCAAAATAGCCGCTGTAGTCACCAGCCCCGTGGCTAGGGAGGAGCGTGGTGTGCAGGAAACGCTCCCCTCTGCGCCCACCCACCAGGCAGGGTCTCTGCCGGTCCCCCACCGCGCTGCCCATGTGGGGCACAGCCAGCGGCACGATGCCGAACCCGTGGCTGCTTGTGTGCCAGGCCCTGCCAGGGGGAGGGGGGCCCTGCCGACCACGGGACAGGCAGGGGAAAGCAATGTGGCCGCAGCAGAGCGGGATGCTCCGCCTGGCAGCAGCCCCATGCAGCCCAGGGGACGGCTGCGAGGGGACCGGAGCTGCCTCTTGCTCCTGCCCACCCCCGGACTCTCTCCGTCCCCGACGAACACCAGCCCCAGCCAAGCGCAGCCAAGCTGAGGGGCCTCACCTGAGAGCGTCAGCGGCCTGGAGAGCTTCATGAGAGCGATGTCGTAGTCATCGTGGTCGTCACTGTAGTTGGAGTTGATGATGACCTGGGAGACGGGGATGCCCTCTGCCTGCTGTTTCAGGTCCGAGACCCCGCCGTACACCTTCCAGTCGTCAAGGATCTTCATGCTGTTCCTGGGCAGGGAGAGGTGGGGGCAAGCAAGGAGTGAGGTGCGGGGCGTGGGGCTGGGCTGAGTGCTGGCGCGAGGGCTGCTGGCGGCATCACACTCACATGAAGAAGCAGTGGGCCGCGGTGAGGACCCACTGCGCGTCGATGACGGTGCCGCCGCAGATGTGGATCGGCCCATACTGCACGCTGACTTGCCAGGGCCATTTGCTCACGGATGTTTCCTTTCCTCCGATGATCCGGCCAGAAATCCTCTGTCCGCAGGCTGGAAGGGAGAGCAGGGCTGAGGGAAGGGCGCAGGGAGAAGGCGAGCCCGGAGCGGGACACACACAACGTCCCCACCACCCGCAGGCACCAGCGGTGCTCGGCACGTTCGTAGGGGCCAGTGGGGACCATGGGAAACAGAAACTTCATAGTTATCTATTACGCAGAGAGTTTGCTGGAAAACGCCCTATTTGCCCAACCCTGTGCAAAGAAAGGAGGAAAAGCGCTCCCAAGCGCGAGTTTGGCCTCGCCCGCCCTCAGCCACGTGCCCTGCCAGCCAGCCCCCTTACTTGTGCATCGGAGGGAGACGTACTTTCCCGTGAGACACTGTGAGCTGCAGGAGAGAAGAGGGAGACGCAGCCTCATTCCCGGCCCTGTGGCACCAGGGCAGGGGCAGGGCCAGGAGGCGACGCTGCCTGGTACCTGTTGAGGCTCTGCTGGATGGTGTCCCGCTCGTCGGCCACGGTGAGGCTCTTGCCGGAGACGTGCAGGGGAATGTATTCGGTCTGCGATGCACTGGGAGGGGAGAGGAGAGAGGCAGTGAGGGTCCCCCCAGCCAGGCACTGACTGCCGGCTCCCTGCCTTCTCAGAGAGGCTCCACACACTAAACCTGAAAAGCCCAGAGCAGCACTGGACACAGCCTTCCAGTGGAAAAGCACAGTGCTGGGGGAAAGAGCACAGCGGACCCCGCACCCAGCCGGGGCAGGAGGGCCAGAGCAACACCCAGGGGGCTAGCAGCAGTGAGGGTCCCCCCAGCCAGGCACTGACTGCCGGCTCCCTGCCTTCTCAGAGAGGCTCCACACACTAAACCTGAAAAGCCCAGAGCAGCACTGGACACAGCCTTCCAGTGGAAAAGCACAGTGCTGGGGGAAAGAGCACAGCGGACCCCGCACCCAGCCGGGGCAGGAGGGCCAGAGCAACACCCAGGGGGCTAGCAGGGCCCCAGCCCCCGAGAAGGACAACCCATCCTT